TGTGTTATACAGTCTAACTGATGACATCATGATGTGTTATACAGTCTAACTGATGACATCATGATGTGTTAAACAGGTATTGATTTAGAGAGCGTTTGTCTCACTCCAGCCAAAGTCACTGAAGACCCCCCTGTTTTCCTCATCCTTCCCGTCTGATACTCATCCAATGATGGTTGTATCATCTGAGAACTGCTGAAGGTGGCAGTGGTCCGAGCTGTAACTGTATTTAGTAAGTCACTATAATATTCCTTCCTGTGCTTTCTTCTTAATCCACACAAACTTGTTTGTATACTTCTTGTATCTGTCTTCTGCTTCTTTTATTCTTAATTTTAAGATGAATACAAGTAATTATTTTTACAAGCATTTCCTAACCCTTTCATCATCCATGGTTTGTCAGCATTTCTCAACAGTTTTTTTCTTTCTTTTCTTTCTTTTTTTGGGTTAAGGTGAAAAAAATCTTTTGACTGAAATATTTTTCTAACCCCAACAACCCCAGTTCACCACACACACACACACACACACAAAAGTTCACTGTCAATCTTACGAGCTCACACTTTAGTGTGTATGAGTTGTAATCAGTTAAACTGGTGAGATGCCCTCCAACAGGTAAAACAAAGCGTGGCACAGTGCAGAAACAGTAGTTACATGCTRCACTGTGTTTTAATTTAGTCAACATGAGCTGCAGGTGGGAGCTATCTATGGAGGCAGATAACAAGCCATCCACTGAAATAYTTCTGTCCACTTGTCAGAAAGAGGATTTGTCAGTAACAGAATTCAAAGAAAACTAACTAAAGCTGAGTCCTAAAGCATAACTTCTTCCAGACTGCATGGCTCAGCTCACATCGGCTCAGTGTAGGACGCAGTTAGGGTCCTAAACTTTAATAAGGCTATTCATGGTCAGGCAGCACCTCTCATTCTTCAGTGTTATAGTCGTATTCAGAATATCTTCCACTGGGTCGAAAGTGAATCTCATCATCCGATTCTTCTGGTGGCGGTTCGAAACACCTGTCAAACTTGCGCCTCAGACGCTTGCGAAGCTGGAATGTGCGCTCAGTGTTTGAAAAGGTGTATTCCTGTTCCTTCAGTTTGGCGTAGTAGTCAGAAAACTTGTTGAAAAGAATGGAGATGGGCATCCCGTTGAGGATGATCCCAAATGAGATGCAGCCGAAWGCCACGCAGCGGCCAAGATAGGAGACAGGGATGACATCTCCGTAACCAACCGTCGAGATGCTCACCTGAGGAAAGAAGAGGAGAATTATTCTGTTTCCCAAATCTATAACACAGCTTCTTTCAGTTGTGTACATGCTGAGTCAGCAGTCACATTACTGTTAATGTTGGTTTTCCACACATTATTTGCAATCCAACCATGTCTGCATGCTTTGTGTGATTTTATATTTTTCATGCATTTTGAGGCTAATCTGGTCGAAACATTTGAATTTTGTTGGAATCCATGTAATTACTAACACTACACTCTCAGAGCGTTTGTCAGGTGGGTGTGAAGGGCTTTGCTCAAGGCCAAAACTGTGGCAGAGGAGGGTGGAGGCAGCTGAGGSGTCATTCAGTTTTTCCACCAACATTTTGCTGAAACCATCAGGGAACTGGAAATCAAACCTTCTGATCACAAGCTCGCCTTCTCTAACCTCTGCGCCATAACCCCTCGTACTTTTTTGGGGTTTACTCTGGAAGAGACAGGTTTTCATTTAATTTATTAAACTGCGTCTTCAGCACGTCAGCGTTTGACAAAACTTACATTCATTAACATAAGTTCTCTAAATCGGAGAGTGTGACAGGGCCTTAAGAGAAAAATAATCAGAGGATAGCAGTGGCGTTACTAGACCTATTGTAGGGGGGCTGGAGCCCCTCTAAAATATTTTAAAGCCCCCCCCCGAAAAAAAATTATTTTGGTGTAAAACATTTTTTTTACAAAAATTCAATATGATGTGGTCA